ATTAGTTTACCTAGCGAAAGGCAAGACCTTGTAGGCTTCGTGTGTAATATTGTCTTTTTAAATAAATAAAATATCAGATAATTCACGAGTTGGTTGCATGGAATTGATGTGGCTAGTGATCCCAGTGTTGTATCCCCTGCGCCGTGGTGACTTCTGATATTTGTGATTCCATGCATTATTTTACCTATGTTTTATTATTTGAACTAGATGTGAGGACTACTCAAGGATGGGAGCCACTTGCAAAGATAACAGATCTCTATTCAATTTTTTTTAATGAATTGCAAGTCACTGAGTAAAACTATGTACGAATCAAAGAAAACTCAATACAGCAAAATACCGGTATTCAAAACATAAAACAAAATACCTACTCATTGATTTAACACGTATACAATCTTGAATTCTATCAAAAATAATTTTACAAAGATAAACATTAAAGTACGGTAATCAAAGCTGGTAGTTCGAATCTTGATAGACCTATGATGGCTAGATTGAATTTCAGATAACATGGGGTAGAACTTATCAAAAATAATTGTACAACGATAAACATAAAAGTAATCAAAACTGGTAAAGTCAAACTTCGAAATCTTATCAAAAATAATTGTACAACGATAAACATAAAAGTAATCAAAACTGGTAGAGTCAAACCCTGTTATAACGTTTACGGATGTAGCGTTTACCCGCTTATAACGTCGCGATTTCCTAGAACCAAAATCCAATTTTCCATGCAAAATTAACCCGCTTATAACATCGCGATTTTACTTCCCCGAGGTGCAACGCTATAACAGGGTTTGACTGCAGTTGGAATCTTGCTAGACTTATGACTAGACTGCGATTTTGGGATATAACATAGTGCACAAATTGCATCGGTGACTCGAATTAAGGCGTTTCAAATACGTAGGATCTCCTAATTTTCAAAGGCAATTGTATCTGGCGCATTGGCCTTGTCCTTTTCATTGGCTGCTCCTAGAAACAAACAAAAAGTGGTACATGAGGAAGTTAAGGTGTGGTGTCAGAATTGGTTTTTAAAGAGTATTATTATGTTAACTTACAGTTCCAGTTATCTCACCTACATGAAAAAAAAGAAATGGAAAACACCATTATATTTTTATAAATTTGTCAATAGACCCAATGAACCTAATAAATAATTATAGAAGACTTACCATGTGATAAAGGTTCACTGTAACTTCTTTTTGGACCTGTTGAGAGAAATGACTTTTAAAACACAAATAAAAATAGATGTAAGAAAAATAAAAATTTATGAGAAAAGCATTAGTGCCAATTTTACAAAAAGTTGCCTGGGAAACCAAATGACAACTGATTTTGTTGACAAAGCTGGAGAAGTTACCACACAAGGCGTGTTCCTCCCTGATAATAACCTTTCTGTTTGCGCTGGGTTACATTGATCCGCTTCCCTGGTGACACTATTTTTTCACTTGACTTGTCTAGGAAGGATACAAAAATAAATGTCAAGTACATATGGGAAGTAGGTTCACAAATTTAATTTTGTTTGCATAAGACAGAAGATCTTATCTTTACCTTTCGGAGCCCAAAACAAAAATGGTTTGTCTTTCGTACAGGATGAAGCAAAACATCCATAATACTCCCAGCCAAGGCATGGACCAGGTGTTTTTATAGTTTTCCTGCAACAGAGAGAAGCATAAACTATACAGGCATCTCTTAGCATTGTAACTTACAACAGAAAATTTTCTGCAGCTGCAATGCAATTTACAATACTATATCCTTGTTGCCACATGTGTGACACTTCCATGATGGGTTGTACCTATTTGTCTTGGTTGGTTTGACTGCAAAAGACAATTTTTATCAGTTGAGAAATATTTAGGTATTATACTCAGGTCTTCCTAGGTAAAGTATTGTCTAACCTTTTCTGGAGCATGGTAGACAGACTCTGTCATTCCCACCATATCCCTCTACACCATTTGGGTTTTGTACAGAGCAGCCAAATGAATGGACTGGTACATGACACTCTGCACACTTGTGAGCAGAGTTGGGTCCAGGAGGTCCATTAACTTCACATACTGGACATGCATTACTATTTAGGTTTCCACTTTCAATTCCTAGAAGAGAGATCACTTCTCTAAATTGTATTATTGCAGCATAGGTAAAAATAAAAAATATTTTCTTTACGACCAACATCAACTATTCCTGTATATATTCCAACCCATGCCGCCTCGTAATAGATCCATACAATTTCTTACTTTTCTAATAGTAATAGTTTGAAAGACCTACCATCTAGTACTTCGCTCAAGGTAGAATCCAAACCATCACCATTGACAAATTCCTCTTTGACTGGGCAGGGTGCATCGTCTGTATCTGAATCTATTGTTATAACTTCAACTCCTTCTGAATCAACCTTATCCACACCTAAGAGAAGCAAATACTCATCAAAATATTGAAAAATCCAAAATTCTGATTAGTGCATTTAAGAAAGAAGCATGCAGCATTTTTAGATGAAAATACTAGAGAGAATTGATTTACAGCATTATTAAAGGCTACATTTTGCCGAACAACATAAGAAGTTTACGGCCAAAGGAAAAGCAGGGACACACAAAACTGTCCAATCACTTTCATTACTAACACTCAGTGTTTTTTTACTTAGCTCAAAGAAAACTCACTACAGTTACTAAAAAATGGGAAAATGGCCAAACGTGTAATTCACAGGAAAATACTACCCAAAATTGGTCAAACTACTACAAATTAGGAGCTTGATTAAATCAGATAGGTGAGCCATAAGAGGAGGCAAAAGACAAAGTAGCTGTTTAAAATGACAGAACCAAGTAGAACTATGGAAGCGACAACGGATAAAATAAGTTTCGGCAAAGTTGTCATCAGCGACACTCATTGAAGAACAGTTAAGGTGAGCTGTATATGAAACCATGCAAGACTTTGGCAAAGTGGCAATGAAGATAGCTGGGTAGATATCAAGGCAGTAGAAAATGGCGTACACTTTAGACTTACAATCTAGTCCTGAAAAGGACTAACCAGTCCTGAAAAGGACTTCTGATCCAGCACAAAA